TTATAATTTTAATTATTAATTCAAAATGTTCTCTCTCTCAATTTCGAGTTCACGCTATAATTTTCATTGTAGTTCCAATTTTTGCCGCTACTCACGAAAGCAGCGCTCGCTGCAAGCTCATTTCACAGCACATACAGCGCCATCTAGCGGCAGCTTTCACAGCCGCTCACACGCGCTTACCTCACAATGAGATCGTAAATTTCCTTTCTATCGAACACCTTGCAGTAGACGCTGAGCACATTGAGGCAGGCGTAATGCATGCCCGTCCAGGGCACGTCGGAGGAGGCCATTGCCGCCCACAGGGGGCAATCAGCGTGGCGGTCCAGGTCGAGCATCTTAACCATTTTATGTGCACTACTTAACGGTTAACACTTTACGATGCTCCGCACATTAACGTTAACGGCACTTGAAACTTTGCTAGTTTTACGAATCTATTTAAATATTATTGCTTATTAAATTTCACGTTCTGCTTCACAATTATTTTTCACTTTTATTTTCTTCTTTAGCTTTCAGTTTGGGTTTCTTTTGCCCGTTCGGCCTGACTCATCGAGTGCTGCTTGGGAGGCGCCTCCACACAGAAAGAGAATGAGATATTTATATATAAGTTAAACAGTTTGCATTTGGCACATCTGTTTGGATTATTTGCTCATTGACATTTTGATGAAGGTGTTAATTTTAACCGTTATACGAGCGCGCACACATTTACGACGTCTTCTGTTTACGCTATTTGAGTTGAATTTTGTTTTCTTTGAATTGCCATTAATTGTTTCGGTTTTCTTATATGTCTTCTCTGTTTTCCAATTAGACAAATACAATCAATGTCATAAAGGAACAAACAACAACAACAAAAACAACAGCGACCCACGCCAGAAACATGAGTCGAGCCAAATGACCAGCACTCAAAAAAGGTATTCGAAAATGAAATAAAAATAAAAAATAAAAGCAAAGCCGAAGGTAAAGGTATAGATAAAGCGAAAGCTAAAGGTAAAGGTAAAGGCAGAGGCAGAGGCAACGGCAGAGACAGCAGCTCCCAACTTTCTGATAAGATTAATAAATACGAAAAAATAAAAATAAAGAACCCCAACACACGTTCGTATTGGATTGCGTGATGTCATCAGGGGGCGGCTGGGCGATGGAGGCGTGGCTGGGGCAGCAAAACAGATTGTCAACTGCCACGAAAAGTAAAACAGCTCAGGTAGCTACTAAAGTCGAAAAATAGCTGATGAGCAAACAGCCAGCCAGAGATAAGTCCAATAAGAACGACGCACACGCAGTCCAATAAGAGGAAATGCATGAAAGCTCGAGCTGACCTTTTATAGGCACAAACTAAGCGCCAACTGTTGCTAATTGCTCACGACTCGACGTCAATGCGGAAAATGCAACAGGTATGCAAATGGCTCAAGGGGGGGAGGGGAGGGGAGGTTAGTTACCTGGTATCTGGTATCTTAATGCAAACATGGCATAATTTAATGGAATTATTTGCATGATTCATATTCGCAATTTTCTGTCTGCTATCAAGAAACGAGATCAACTTATGTTTCTACTATGAATCATTAGATAAAAAACATACATATATATCATTTGATAAGCAATAAAAATTGCTGAAAGTGGGGTAGATCTATGTCTAGAGCTGAGATAACTTGATTTATAGTAGAAATTCTTATGGAACTCGTCAAAAAACATAAACAAGATAAGTTGAAATTTTTGCGGCATGTTGTAGAGACAATTAAGAGAAGGATTATAAGAACAGAAGAACAGAAACATGTATATCTTTCTTAAATATATATGAACCACTGCATATTTTATATATTTTATATTTAATCTTGATTGGTATTGCCCAGCCAATCTATTGTACAATCATAAAGATATTGTCATAAAACTTGTCATTAATTTATTTTTGTACTACATATATATCGATATAGCTGGCATTTGAAGTCTATGTCATATAGTTTAAGTATGACTAACAAAGAAGTCCTTGTCTGCAGAATACCTCCGTCATGTTGAAATTACTTATACGCTGTACGAAAACCAATATTATAACAATCTTATCTTAGCAAATTGATTCAACCATTCTCGTAGAGTTCCTTAGCAATCTAACATTCTTCCCATTTTCTATATATCTCAATCATAATAATAAACAATGAAGAACTAACCCTCGAGCTCTACATACATACATAAAATGATATCTGATAAAGTCAAGTTTTTAGTAAAGTTAAATTTCGGATAACAGTCGCTTGCCTTCGAAATATATTTCAATTTGTCTTTATAATCTATGTTGTCTGTATGATTAATTTCTATTTTCTGCCGTACAATCTATGTTTCATATATATATAAAAACAAATTACAAAATTCGAATTTAAGCACTTTGTGACCTCAAGCAAAGTTCTTTTAATAGCATTACCTACTTAATCACAGTGCCTGAAGCTAATACATCATACTAATACCCGCTATAAATAGCCAAAAGACGCTGACATTTACATGCATATAATATATATAGTACATATATATTTAAATATGTATATTTAGTTACAATTTGCAAAAGGCCAAAGAGTCAAGAGCTAAATTATAAATTTGTCTGCTTCTTATCTTCTACATAATAGAGTATACCTGGTATATAGACAGAGATAACTGCAGTCATTCGTATACTATCTAAATAAATTCAGTTCCTTTCGTATTCATAAAGTTGTCAGATGCGCAGCCTTATCTCACTTTGAGCAAACAATTACTGTGCCATTAAAACGTGTTCAGTGCAGATTAAACAGATGTCGTACGCCCATATCAAATGAGCGAAAAAGCGAACAGATTTCATTTAATTGAATTGCGACAGCAACACGAATTTAATAAACGATAGCACAGAGCAATCAGCGAGAGACTTGAGCCCAATATGCAATGTCTGTATATATGTACATGAATAAAGAATTCTTATCGAAGGGTAGATTACAAAGAGATACCCTAGAAAATGGCGAAATGAGAGGAAAAAATATCGTATAGATCGCTGGTAGATGAGGTTAAATATGAAAATACATATTATTCTATATATTATATTATAT